TGCTAGCTGTGAAAAGGATGCTGTTGATTTACAAAAGGATTTAGATTATTTATTAAATTGGGCAAATAAATGGCAAATGGGTTTTAACTGTAATAAATGCAATATAATGCATGTTGGTTATCATAATTTTAATTATAAATATAATTTGGATGGGAATAACCTTAACAGTATCATGAAGGAAAGGGATCTTGGTGTAATAGTTGATCAGTCTCTAAAGCCATCCAAGGAGTGTGCTGTTGCTAGTGGTAAGGCAAATAGGATTTTAGGCTGTAACTATAGAAATATTGAATACAAGTCTAAAGAAGTTATTATTTCATTGTTCAGGTCACTAGTTAAGCCACATTTGAAATATTTGTTCAGTCTTGGGCTCCTTACCTCAGGAAAGCTATTGAATTGTTGGTAATGGTTCAGAGAATGGTTACTAGAATGGTGCCTGGGATGAAGGGTTTGTCATATGAGGAGAGATTAAGATCTTTGAAATTGTTTTCTCTTGAAAAAAGAAGAGTTAGGGGGAAATCTGATTGAGGTGTTTAAGATTGTAAAGAGAATTGATAGTGTTGATGTATCATCTTTTTTCATAATTAACAGTGAGAACAGTAGGACTAGGGGACACAAATATAAATTTTGGCAATGTGGGAATAATCTTCAGCTGAAACAGTTTCATTTTACTAACAGGGCGGTTGGCTTTTGGAATGGGTCGCCTTCAGATGTTGTGGAGGCAGTACATTTAAATTGTTTTAAGAGAAATATTGATAATTATATGAATGATAAGGGCTGACTATGATTTGTTTTTTAATTTATAATAGTTTAGTTTATAGGATATGACAGCTGAGATGGACCAATAGGTCCCATGTTGTCCCTAACCATTATGTTATGTGTTATATCACGTTAAATTACAAGGTTACAAACTATAAGAGACTATATTAACTATACATCATTTCATGTTCTTATACACTATAGCAAGAAGTAATAACTCTGATGGAAAATAGAATACATACTATAACAGGAAGTATGAGCTCAGTATAGGAATATAATACATACTATAACAGGAAGTATGAGCTCAGTATAGGAATATAAAACATACTATAACAGGAAGTATGAGCTCAGTATAGGAATATAATACATACTATAGCAGGAAGTAATAACTGAAGATGAATACAGAACATACTATAGCAGGAAGTAATAATTGAAGATGAATACAATACATACTTTATCAGGAAGTAATAATTGAAGATGATTACAATACATACTTTATCAGGAAGTAATAACTCTAAAAATTAATACAGAACATACTATAGCAGGAAGTAATAATTGAATATGTGTAAGACACACACTATAGCAGGAAATAATAACTGAAGATGAGTACAATACATACTACAGCTGGAAGTAATAACTCTGAATGTGAATCAAATACATACTACAACAGGAAGTAATAACTCTGAAGATGAATCAAATACATACTATAAAAGGAAGTAAAAATTCTGAAGATGAATCAAATACATACTACAGCTGGAAGTAATAACTGAAGATGAGTACAATACACACTACAGCTGGAAGTAATAACTGAAGATGAGTACAATACATTCTATAGCAAGAGGTAATAGCTTTGAAGATGAATACAGTACTTACTTTAACAGGAAGTAATAACTCTGAATGTGAATCAAATACATACTATAATAGGAAGTAATAACTAAAGATGAGTACAATACACACTACAGCTGGAAGTAATAACTGAAGATGAGTACAATACACACTACAACAGGAAGTAATAACTCTAAAGATAAATGCAAAAAAATTCTAGAATGGGAAGTAATAACTGAAAATGAATACAATACATTCTATAGCAAGAGGTAATTGCTGTGAAAATGAATACAGTACTTACTTTAACAGGAAGTAATAACTCTGAATGTGAATCAAATACATACTACAATAGGAAGTAAAAATTTTGAAGATGAATACAATACAGTCTATAGCAAAAGTTATTACTTCCTGCTATTGTATGTATTGTACTCATCTTCAATTATTATTTCCTGCTATAGTGTGTGTTGTATTCATCTTTAGAGTTATTACTTCCTGTTAAAATATGTATTGTACTCATCTTCAATTATTACTTCTTGCTAAAGTATGTATTGTACTCATCTTCAATTATTACTTCCTGCTTGGTATGTACTGTATTTATCTTTAAAGTTATTACTTCCTGCTAAAGTATGGATTGTACTTATCTACAGTTATTATTTCCTGCTGTAGTATGTATTGTACTCATCATCAAAGTTATTACTTCCTGTTATTGTATGTATTGTATACATCTTCAGGTATTACTTCCTCTTATTGTATGTACTGTATACATCTTCAGTTATTACTTCCTGTTATTTTATGTACTGTATACATCTTCAGATATTATTCCCTGTTATTGTATGTATTGTATACATCTTCAGATATTATTCCCTCTTATTGTATGTATTGTATACATCTTCAGATATTATTCCCTGTTATTGTATGTATTGTATACATCTTCAATTATTACTTCCAAAGATGAATAGAATACATACTATAGCAGGAAGTAATAACTCTGAAGGTGAATACAATACATACAATAACAGGAAGTAATAATGGAAGATGTATACAATACATATTATAAAGCAGGAAGTAATAGCTCTGATGATGAATACAATACATACAATAATAGGAAGTAATAACTGATGATGAATACAATACATACTATAACAGGAAGTAACAATTTGATTAAGTACTAACATTTCCCAGTCTGTCCAGTATATGTTTCCATTAACGACTGTGATGCCAAAAGGATATGCAGCAGGTGTGTACACAACCCGTCTGTTTTGTCCAGAGAATCCAGCACATTCAATTCGGGCAAGTCCTTTACAAATATAAAATCAGGGTATTTAGTTGGTATGTTCATACTGAAAAACCATTTATTCTCTTATGGTTTAGTCAAACAAAAAGTTTACTAATTCAAATGAGTTATTTGATGTAAAATAAATTTTAGAGTTTTATGTTTGTGGCTGAATATCTGGTTCAGAATAATAAGATAGTAGAACAACTTTACATAACCAGAGAAACAACTAAAAAACCATAGCTTCTAGGTTATTATACTTGGACTGGGATATAGCCCATCAAAAATGATAGGGCAAGTGGTACTACCCCACCCCAACAAATACACTAACCTCACATTTCATAGCTAACTGAAATAGAGAAATTTTGTGAATTTAAGCTTGACCAACAAAGAGGCAGAAAAAGGCAGTCAAAACAGTCAAATGTTATTAAATTCCTTTGTGAACCAATCAAAATTAAGATCATTCGTGAAATGAATTCATGGCATATTCATAGAATAATTATTGGTAAAAATCAGGTGGATTAACAACTTCTAATATCAAGAAAAGCCAATGCATTTTGGTAACACTACAATGGATATTATGTCATGTTGCTTAGCAGCAAAAGTATAACTTAATATTGTTGTTAGTCTATGTACTGAAAGTATAAAATGTAATATATAGACAATAAAACTGGAAAAATATTTATCCTTTTCTTAATTCAGAAACTCCGTTGATTGAAGAGGTTTGTTTTTTAATTAAAACGTTGGTGATATAATAGAAAATAGCTTAATTCAGAAACAATTTAAGTTTAAAATAGAATCAATATTTTTACTTTCATTATTAATTTTATGCAATTGGCTCTTTCTGAAATGTTTCTACCAGTTTGAACATTTGTACACTGTCAGAAGTTCTTATAAGTCTATGTTACAAATAATGTTCATACCTCTTTAACATTACTAGGACTAATTTAAAACAAAGTTACTTGTACAAAGTAATTCAGTAAGTGTGATAGCTAACACAGTCCAAAAACTTAACTTTTTTATAGTCATTCACAAGCATGTTAGGTAACCTAAGGTCACTTCTGATCAAAACTATTCATACATGTGAAATGTAACTTACTTGAGTCAGTCCAACAGATTTCACTTCTTTCATTGTGTTATGTATCTGCTTGTTTGTTAATTTCCGGTATAAATTCTTTTCGAGGAACTTCAGTGATACAAGTCCTTTCTTAATTAAACCAGTTTATTTTTCCTCCATACAACTTTGTAATACACAGAATTTCCAACCAGTACGTTAAACTTAACTACTTTTATAACACATGCTATAAATCACAGTGATTCAAACACTTTACTTACGGTGGCTACTGTTCACTTGACTCAATTATCTATCTCTTCAAACCCCCTGGTATTTCTCGCCAGGCTTATATACTAAAAAAAGAGGGTGTCTAGCAAACACTCGGATAGTTGTGGGGTTCTTTGATAATTCGAGAAACTCCAGCACGTATGCTCCCAGTGTGTTGGCTGTCGTAACAATAGTCAACAGCCAGCATGTTTGGTAACTCGAGGTTACTTGTGATCAAAACTATTTATACATGTGAAATGTAACTTACCTGAGTCAGTCCAACAGATTTCACTTCTTTCATAGTCAACAGCCAGCATGTTTGGTAACTCGAGGTTACTTCCAATCAAAATATTTCTTCTTGTTCCATCCATGTTGGCTGTTTCAATCTTTGGTGATTCTCTGTTCCAGTCAGTCCAGAAGATTTGTCTATAAATATTGATTAGATAGTTAAAAAAATTTAATCAAACATAACAATTCAGAGTAAATAACAAAGATAAACGTTGTTCATTCATTTCTTGAGTAAAAAAAAAGCTACAGTCATGACAAGTTAACTTTTCAATTGACTAGTAACTGCTATATAGGATTAAATCATTGTCAAAATACTTACCAAAAATTTAAGTGTGATTTAAAAAACATCCATACATTTATTAAATTGAATATAATGAATAAATTGATTAATAAATAACACACAGAAACTTCAATCCCTATTGAGATAAAACAAAAACTTGAAAAAATAGGCATCTTTACAAATAAATGTTAAATAAACAAAAAGGACACATCTGCTTCATACAGTGTTTCAATAAATACACAAAGTGTAGACCCTAGTACAGTGATCCCACAAGTACCTGTGTAAATGTGTTAGTATAGTGATCCCACAAGTACCTGTGTAAATGTGTTAGTACAGTGATCCTACAAGTACCTGTGTAAATGATCACTGTACTAACACATTTACACAGGTACTTGTGGGATCACTATACTAACACCTACAAGTACCTGTGTAAATGTGTTAGTATAGTGATTCTACAAGTACCTGTGTAAATGTATTAGTATAGTGATCCTACAAGTACCTGTGTAAATGTGTTAATACAGTGATCCTGCAAGTACCCATGTAAATGTGTTAATACAGTGATCCTACAAGTACCTGTGAAAATGTGTTAGTATAGTGATCCTACAAGTACCTGTGTAAATGTGTTAGTATAGTGATCCTACAAGTACCTGTGTGAATGTGTTAGTATAGTGATCCCACAAGTACCTGTGTAAATGTGTTACTAGTGATCCTACAAGTATCTGTGTAAATGTGTAAAGATAGAGCCATTGCTCTGCTTCATAAAGTGTTTCTATAAATACATGAAGTCTAGACCTTAGTACAATGATCCCACAAGTATCTGTGTAAATGTTTAACCCTTTTGCAATGGGAGCCCCTTTAAATGCTTTTCTGTGCTAAATTCAAAATTTAATTAAACACCCTTAATATCAATGTCCTAAATTAATTTAATATTATAATGTGTGTGTTGTAATTCAAAGTTTTATTTTATCTAAGTTTTAAGTCGTTTATTACAAAATAAACATTAAACAAACTACTTAAAGCTTCAAATGTATTGTCATGTGACCTATGAAAAATCTCAACTTGACTCTCTGTATCTTTGATAATACAATAGTAATAGAGTAGAGGTATGTCTAGTCATTAAGATGCTTACATAACTTTTTGACTCACTCCTTTCAAAATATTCTAAATGAATACAGTTAAAACAAGTAATAAATTTTTTCAAACCTTAACAGATGCCACGCCCACCTTCAAAAGATTTGTTTGAGCTATATTCCTTTCCATATAATAGTTACACACATAGTGTATATAACAATTAAAAAAAAGCTCATTTTACAGTAGAAACTCACAACAGTTATTTTGAAATTGTTGCCAAGTATTTGTCACAGAGTACATGAAATTGACTATAGTATTGTTGGCTGTTTGATCAACTATACCCACTTATGGCTGTTTCTTACCTAAATATGTTATAATTAGGGATACAATTTAAATTGTATTTCAGTCTTACCATTATATTTTAGTTAATTATGTTTTAAAATGTATAATTAAGAGGTTTAAGCATTTTTTAAATGTACATCATACTTTGCATCTGTTTTCAAAGCTTACAATATTATGTGCTGAACAAAAACTTTGCTAAAGAGTTGTGCATGTCTCCCACAGAAACTGTAATATGCCTCCAAGACACCGTTGACTTGTGTCAAGATTAATGATAAGTTGTAAAAGACAAGAAAGGAAAATAAAACATTAAAAATCAACAATATGTGAAAAGGAAAGTGATGAAATTACAAATTTAACAAAAGGAAGCTCTTTAAAAATATTCAACAAAAAATTAAAAGATATTTTTTTTTACTTTCTAATTTAAATTATTTCATTGCATTGTAGAGTTAATGATATGGTAGAGAAAACGAAAAATAAAATATAAAAATTTACTTTGTAAAAACTTTTGATATCCTTTTATGAGATTCTAGAGATTATGCAAATGAAATATGAAAAATATAAGATGAAGAAAAGTATTTTTATACTTAAAATGAAAATTACTTTGCACTCAATTTGTTAAAAGTTTGAATGCGAGTAACTACAATAGAAAAATAACATCTTTTTAACGATACACTTAATTATAAAACTATCATTATTTCAATGATCCTTATGATCTTTAATGAAATCTTACCAGTTTTTGAGAGGATACATTAAGAAACCTTAGAGTTACCTCACGTATTGTTGTACAAGTGAATTTCACAACTCAATTTCTGCAAATTGCACAAGCCCCCCCCCCCCGATGAAAAAGCTGGAGACTGGACCTTTATTCTATATTGTAAAGTATTTCTATCAATATATAAAGTCTAGACCTCAGTACATTGATCTCACAAGTACCTGTGTAAATGTTTAAAGCAATGACCTTTGCTCTGCTTCATAAAGTGTTTCTATTGTTACAACATCGGAAGTCACGTGACATTGGGAACATGCGCGCTGGAATTTCTAGAAGGATCCTGACTTATCGAGGAACCCCGTGAATGTTCCAGTGTTTGCTAGATGCCCTCTTTTTTAGTATATAAGCCTGGTGAGAAAAACTAGCGCAATTGTAGAGATATAGATAGATATGTAGATAGATTGAACATAGAGAGAATTGAGTCAAGCGAACAGTAGGCACCATAAGTAAAGTGTGTGAATCACTGTGATTTATAGCTGTGTTATAAAAGTTGTTAAGTTTTATGTGACTGTGGAAATTCTGTGTACTAAAAAGTTGTATCAAGAAAGAATAAACTAATTTTAATTAAGAAAGGACTTGTATCACTGAAGTTCCTACGAAATAATTTATACCAGAAATTAACAAACGAGCAGATACGTAGCACTATAAATACATGAAGTCTAGACCTTAGTACATTGATCTCACAAGTATCTGTGTAAATGTTTAAAGACAGGACCTCTGCTCTACTTCATAAAGTGTTTGATCAATGTACTAAGGTATAGACTACGTGTATTTATAGAAACACTTTGTGAAGTAGAGCAGAGGTCCTGTCTTTAAACATTTACACAGATACTTGTGGGATCAATGTACTAAGGTCTAGACTACGTGTATTTATATCACAAGTATCTGTGTAAATGTTTAAAGCCAGGATCTTTACTCTACTTCATGAAGTGTTTCTATAAATACACGTAGTCTATACCTTAGTACATTGATCTCACAAGTATCTGTGTAAATGTTTAAAGACAGGACCTCTGCTCTACTTCATAAAGTGTTTCTATAAATACACGAAGTCTAGACCTTAGTATATTGATCTCACAAGTATCTGTGTAAATGTTTAAAGACAGGATCTTTGCTCTACTTCATGAAGTGTTTCTATAAATACACGTAGTCTATACCTTAGTACATTGATCTCACAAGTATCTGTGTAAATGTTCAAAGCAATGACCTGTGCTCTGCTTCATAAAGTGTTTCTATAAATACACGAAGTCTAGACCTTAGTACATTGATCTCACAAGTATCTGTGTAAATGTTTAAAGCCAGGATCTTTGCTCTACTTCATGAAGTGTTTCTATAAATACACGAAGTCTAGACCTTAGTACATTGATCTCACAAGTATCTGTGTAAATGTTTAAAGCCAGGATCTTTGCTCTACTTCATGAAGTGTTTCTATAAATACACGTAGTCTAGACCTTGGTACATTGATCTCACAAGTATCTGTGTAAATGTTTAAAGAGAGGACCTCTGCTTAATAAACGTTAGCATTTTCCTACATTGAAAATGTATTTCCGATAGATACTTACCTCTTTTCACAAAATAGCTTTTATCGATTAGTACTGCCCTCTATCAACACAAATTTGAATGCTCACCATTAGCCTTCTACTTCCTGCTTCTGCAATCAACATGCAAATAATCATGCAGCAGCTCTGCACCAATAAGAGTGCAACACATCCTCTACTGTGACCAGCACCCTTTTCACATTTCCACTCATTAATCACTTCTTGTTTAGCAGTAGTACTGTATGTGCTGGTTTTTGATTATGTTTTCCTTTCTACTACAGACTTAGTTTTTTTTATTATTTATTAAAATGTTCACATTTTGGAATTGTGAAATGTTACTTTTTTCATATTTTCTTACTTTTTTCAGGGGCCTTTTTGTATAGCGTATTGTCGATCAGACTTTGTGGCAAGTGGTGCCTAACAAGGAATATTTTTTTTTTAAATCTGCACTGTCCATCCTGTGACCATGCTCAATGTCAATTATATTGTAGCCCTTCCTACCACAGACCGGATGTATAATTCCAGGTGTTGGTTATGTTTCTCCATTCTATTGTCATCTATGCCTAAAGAATTACATCACAGGGTTGGATTATGGGCTAATATAAAAAGCAGAAGTTGCTGCCCATTTTTGATACTCTGCAGCATTGACTCTTCCTATTACATTTACATACAGTAGAATACACATACTTTACACTTACATTTACATATACTAGTTTACGCTTACATTTACATACACTAGCATACACTTACTTTATGCTTACATTTACATACAATAGTATACACTTACTTTACTCTTACATTTACATACAATAGTATACACTTACTTTACTCTTACATTTACATACAATAGTATATACTTACGTTACTCTTACATTTACATACAATAGCATACACTTACTTTACTCTTACATTTACATAA